AAAAAAAAAATGAAAGAAAGGCAAGTGCAGTGGCTCATGCCTATCCTAGCATTTTGGGAGGCCAAGGCAGGAGTATCACTCGAAGCCAGGGGTTTGAGATGAGCCTGGGCAACATAGAAAGACCCCTTTCCAACAAATAATAAAACAAGTAAACCAAGTGTGGTGGTGCTTATAATCCTAGCTACTCAGGAGACTGAGACAGGAGGATCCCCTGAGCCCAGGAATTAGAGGCTGCAGTGATGACGCACTTCAGCCTGAGTGACAGAACAAGACCCTCTCTACAAAAAAACAAACAAAAAAGAATATGCACAGAAAAAAATCCTGGCTTTTAAGTCTTTGCCAGTAATTTCCATGCATTAGAAGCCCCGTCCTATCTTGTCACTTCCAAGGGAAGGGAATTCTGATGTAGATTGTTCTGTGAACAGTCCTTGGCTACTCTTGGCACCCTCACCCCACTTCCCTTTCGCCTGTCCCCCAGGCACACCATTCCCCAAGAACTTCCTGCAGGCTGTGAGGAAAATCCTGTCTCGGCTGTTCCGTGTGTTCGTGCATGTTTACATCCACCACTTTGACCGCATTGCACAGATGGGCTCTGAGGCCCATGTGAACACCTGCTATAAGCACTTCTATTACTTTGTCAAGGAGTTCGGCCTCATCGACACCAAGGAGCTGGAGCCGCTGGTAAGCAGGCTTAGGGTGGGAGGGCAGCAGAGGGACCCCTTCCTAGAGCCAGGACACCTGAGATCAAGGCCAACCCCCTGGCCTTGCCCCCTCCTGTCCTGGGACTCAGTCCCAGAGACTACTGATGGGGCAGAAGCCAGGATAGCCAGGACTGATTCAGGGGTCCCTGTTGGAAGAGATCTGGGCATGAGCTCAGGTTCCTCAGCAACCTCAACATGGTCCTTAACTTCTGAAACAAATCAGAAGTCCTGGATTCTCATGTCCCAAAAACATCCATTAAGTGTCGCTTACAGATGGGGACAATCTAATGCAAGGAGATTCCAGCTGGCCTCTGCTACCTGCCCTAGCTTATCCATTTTTAGCTTTACTGAGTTTTATTTATTTATTTAAGTAGGGGGGTGCAGTGCTGTGGCATCATAACTCACAGCAACCTCAAACTCTTGGGCGCAAGTGGATTCTCTTGCCTCAGCTTCCCAAGTAGCTGGGACTTAATGGGCACCTGCCGCAATGCCCAGCTATTTTTAGACACAGGGTCTTGCTCTTGCTCAGGTTGGTCTTGAACCCGTGAGCTCAGGCAGTCCACCCACCTTGGCCTCCCAGGGTACGGTTTACTGGGTTTTATAGGGAGACAGATGCAGGGACTATGTTCTCAGCATTGGGTCTCATGTGCAAACCCACAGCAATTGAAGCAGGTGTCTTTTGTTGAGATTGGGGTCTGAATTTGTGATGTGGTGAAGGGGACTACAACTGCACTGGCTCCCTTTGATTCTGGGCAAGAAGATCTTAAGGGACCTGATACCCAGGACCCACCAAGGGGGTTGTTTCTATTCCTTATGGTAGAGATGTTGGTACCCAATGTAAACAGAGACCCCACTAAACTCCCCAGAAGAGAGGATGCCCCCCACAGGCATCAATGCCTTGGTTGTCTTCTACTCCCCACCAAAAAGCAGAGCCAGCCCCCAGCCTGGGGTATGCCTCACCGCCCATGGAGCCCCTTCAGAGGTCATTCCATGATGTGGCTTAAAGGGGGGTTCAGGGAGATGGGAGATGGAGGAGGCTCCATCCTGCAGTTCCTGTAGCATCTACGTCTGACCAGGCAGCCCCAGCCTCCTCCTCTCTGCTTGGCTGGACTTGGAGGACGAATTTTGTTGTTTTTAATTGTCATAACTTAAAATTAGCTATTTAACCAGCCTGAGCAAGAGCAAGACCCTATCTCTACTAAAAATAAAAACCTGTCTGGGTGTTGTGGAGGGCAACTGTAGTCCCAGCTACTCAGGAGGCTGAAGCAAGAAGATGACTTAAGCCTAAGAGTCTGAGGTTGCTGTGAGCTATAACACCATGGCACTCTACCCAAGGTGAGATTCTGTGTTTTAAAAAAAATAAATTAGGCTCAGCACCTGTGCCTCAAGTGGCTAAGGTGCCAGCCACATACACCTAAGGTGGCGGGTTCGAATCCAGCCCGGACCCGCCAAACAACAATGGTGGCTGCAACCAAAAAATAGCCGGGTGTTGTGGCGGGCGCCTGTGGTCCCAGCTACTTGGGAGGCAGAGGCAGGAGATTCGCTTGAGCCCAGGAGTTGG